TATACATGCACTGGGTACAGTCAGAAGCGCGGGAGGGTGAGAGAATTCACCAGAGCCAGAGCAGGGAGCAGAGCAGGCAGAAGGACAGAAGTATACTGCTTCTGCGCACCATGTGGGACCCTCCTCTGGTGGCCGGGGAGCAGCCGGGAATCGAACCGGCGCTGCAGAGGCTGCGGGCAGCTTCGCAACCCAGCGCTCAACCGCTGCGCCACCGGGGAGGCCCAAGTATGCCTAATTTTTTATGAGTCCTATAATTGAGTAATTTAACATTTCATTTTATAATGCAAAATATCTTCATTATTCACTTTGAAACATTACTTAATTTTTAAGTTAGTAAACTTAACAAAGGATGTGAAGAGCGTGTATAATGAGATGTATGTCTTGTGTGTTTTCCCTGTATTTCTTCTACGTATTTTATATTGTCAGATCTTATGTCCAATTCTTTTATCCATTTTGAGTTGATTTTTGTGCACAGTGAGAGGTAAAGGTCTAGTTACATTTTTTTGCATGTGGAGGTCCAGTTTTCCCAGCACCATTTAAGTTATCCAACCATAGCCAGGTTGCCTGTCCACTGGGAAAACAATCAGCATTCTCTAGAACACTTAAAATGGACTCAGAGGGCCTCCCCGGTGGCGCAGCGGTTGAGCGCTGGGTTGCGAAGCTGCCCGCAGCCTCTGCAGCGCCGGTTTGATCCCCAGCTGCTCCCCGGCCACCGGAGGAGGGTCCCACATGGCGCGCAGACCTCTCCTGCCGCCCGCTGCTCCCCTCAGCAGTGTACCTAGGTCCTTCTGCCTGCTCTGTTCCCCGCTCTGGCTCTGGTGAATTCTCTCACCCTCCCGCGCTTCTGACTGTACCCAGTGCTTGTATAAATAAATAAAAATAAATCTTTAAAAATAAAATAAAATAAAATGGACTCAATCTTTTTTTAATGTCTTATATAGGAATTTTATTTCTTTTTTTAATACTTTTTCTTATTTATTTTTGAACAGTATTTGCTTCTCCCCGATCCCCTCAGATTGAGTCCCCATAGAATTTCCTTCCCTAAGACACCCGTGCACCATCACCACAGTCCCCTGAGCTCCTCCCTCCCTCCCTCTTATCCCTTTCCCTCCTCCTCCCCTGCAGGACGTCTCTGATTTGTAATTGTCTGTTTTTGCTTTGTTGTGTTTTGTACTGTTATTATTTTTTTCACACTGATGTCTTATTTGGGTCCCCTATATTCCTGTAATAAGTGAAACCATCCAATATTTTTCTTTTTTCTTCTGGCTTATTTCACTGAGCATCATTCCTTCTAGCTCCATCCATGTTGCTGTGAATGGCATGAATTTATCTTCTTTGATTGCTGAATAATGTTCCATTGTGTATATGTACCACATTTTCTTGATCCAGTCATCTATTTCTAGGCATTTGGGTTGTTTCCAGGTTTTACCTATTGTAAATAGTGCTGCAATAAAAATAGGGGTACAGGTGGTCTTTTGAATCAGTGTTTTTGTGTCCTTTGGGTAGATCCCTAGGAGTGTAATTGCCAGTCGTATGGTAGCTCCATTTTTAGTAGATTGAGAAGCCTCCACACAGCTCTCCACAGTGGTTGGACCAGTTTGCACTCCCGCCAGCAATGAAGAAGAGTTCCTTTTTCACCACATCCTCACCAACATTTGTTGTTGCATGTGTTTTTGATATGTTCTGTTCTCACTGCTGTAAGATGGTATCTTGGTGTGGTTTTGATTTGCATTTCCCTGATGATAAGGGGTGTTGAACATTTTTTCATATGCCTGTTGGCCATTTGCATTTCCTCTTTGGAGAAATGTCTTTCAAGTTCTTCTGTCCATTTCTTGACTGGATTGTTTATTTTGTTTTTGTTTGTTTCACTATCACTGCTTTGGGTGATGAGTCTTTAAAGATGTTTCTGAGATGTATGTCTTGTAGTGTTTTCCCTATGTTTCCTTCTATATATTTTAAGGTTTCAGGTCTTATGTCCAGTTCTTTTATCCATTTTGAGCTGATTTTTGTGCACGGTGAGAGGTGGTGGTCTAGTTACATTTTCTTTTGCATGTGGAGGTCCAGTTTTCCCAACACCATTTATTGAACAAAGTGTCTGTGTTCCATTGCATATTCTTTGCTCCTTTGTCAAAGATTAGTTGTTCATATAATTGTGGCTTTATTTCTGGGCTCTCTATTTGGTTCCATTGGTCTGTGTGTCTGCTTTTGTTCCAATACCAAACTGTTTGCATAAGAGTGTTCATAGTAATCTCTGATTATTCTCTTGATTTCTACTGAGTCTGTTGTGATTTCTCCTCTTTCATTTATAATCCAATTTATATGTGTCTTTCTCCCTTGAAACGTAAGTTAATTTTAATACAAAGCTATTTATTAAAGGAGACACTCCCATGAAATTCATTCCATTTCCTGTGAGTTTACATTTCCATTTATTACACTGATGTAACCTTACATTATAACGTTATATGAATTTCAGGTATGCATGATTATTAATCAACATATGTATATGCCACATTAAATTCACTACTAAAAGTTTAAATTTATCTTTCATTATACCTTGTCCTCATTCTGATTGAACTGCCTCCCTTCTCCCATCTTTCTGTGAGCCACTAATTGTTCTTATATAGTCCAAAAGAATATTTTGTTTTATTGACATGATCTGCTAATTTGTTTTCTTTATTACATATGAGTGAAATCACATGGTATTTGACTTCCTCTGTTTGGCTTGTTTCAGAAAGGATCATTCTGTTCTTATCCTTTTGTTCTTCCAAATATAAATAGTATTCCGCTATCTACATATACCACATCTTTCTGGACATTTGTCAATCAGTGGAGACTTGGATTTTTTCTACCTCTTGGCTATTGCAGTGAACATGGATGGAAAACACCTCTTGGAATTAGTGCTTTTTATGTGTAGTTAGCAGCTAAATACTCAGAAGTAAGACATTTGCGTCATAGGAAACATATTCTTCAATGATTGAGTAATTTCCATACAGCTTTCCATAACAGATGCACAGGTTTACATTCCATCAACACTGTATAAGTGTTTCCTCTTCTGCCCCAGGACCCTTTGAGCTCAGTGACAGCACAGGAAAGGAATCTCCACCCATTTCCAGAATTAAAAGATCAGAGTTTTCAGGCAGAGCCCAGATGGCTTCATAATGGATCCCAGAGCAGAGAAAAGGATGGGTGGGACAGAGAACACAGCACTTCTTTGCAACGTATCAAGCAGACTTGCAGCATTTGCAACCAGGGTCCCTCAGTGGACAGCAGGGCTGGTGCCTGTGGTGGTCATTAACTGTTTCCACATGTGTGCAGTGGGCACAAGCCCACATAGGTGCCTCCTACATATCAGGGTCAGCTGATTCTACAGCTTGAACCCTGTGGACTAGACCCTGCTCCAGTCACCAGGAGACTCAGCCTGTGGCAGGAAGTACCAGACAGAGGTGGGAAGGGAGGTGAGGACAACTGAAGACCAATTGGAGCTGCTGTGAGAGAGGGAAGGAGTTGGAGGTAACAGAGTTCACTTCTCAACAAACTAACACATTTAAGTCCCAGACTCCCCACTTCTCACCTCACCCCAAGGTAAACTAGAAGAGAAACAAACTAACCCCCGGCACCCCAGCTGTGCACCTGGAAATGAGGTGACATCAATACTTAGAAATCAAGGAACATCCGAGCATAAGAAGGGAAAAAAGTAGCAGAACAGAAGTTCTGGCTCATAAATACAGGAGTGAGAAGCAGAGGAGTCCCAGCGACATGGAGCAACAACATGAAATACACCCGTGAGTTATGGGAGGTGACTTAGGGCAGACGGGCAGCTGCGAGACCTTGGAAAGTAGATCAAAGCACTGGAGAGTCTTCACCAAAGAACTGGACAATATTGAGAGAACACAAATCACTTCAGAAATATAGGGCCCAAGTGTAGAAATCCCCCAAGTAGGAAAACAGAGAGAAATAAGACAGACATAGGACAAATAAGGAAATGCTACAAAGAATGTCAGACTCAGTGAAGAGTGGACACGTAAGAATAGTGGATGACCCAGAAGATGAAGAGGCAAGAGAGGAGTGATGCTTTTCAAAATAATCACAGCTGAGAATTTTCCAAACCTAAAGAATGAAATAAGTATGAATGTGCAGGATGTAGTGATAACACCCAAAATTCAAAGTGAAGATGAACTACACCATAACACCTCACTGTTAAATTACAGAAAATCAGGAAAAAGAGGAAGAATTTTAAAAAGGCCTGAAAATAAGAGAATTTACAAAGGCATCGAAAGTAGACTTTCGTCAGATTTTTCCCCAGTCACTCTCGAGGACAGGGGAGAAGTGAAGTGCTAATAATCCTAAATACAAAGACTTCCAACCAAGAATACTCTGTCCTGCAGAATTATTCAATTATGGAAGTGAATAAAAAAAAAAGCTTCCCAAAGAAGTGAATGGAGTTTATCCCTGTCAGGTGCCTGCCTGACCATAAAAGCCAAAAGGGTTCTTCCACAATAAAGAAAAAATGAAACACAAATCCTGAGCACAATGACATCAGCAGGAATATTAGGGGTCAATGACAAAGCACTTAAAGGTAGGAAGGAAGTTACAGAAGTAGGGACAGTTGAGGATTAGCCCTGGATGCTCATGTATAGTTTGATATGACAAGAGTTTTCTGCAGATAATCATTAATTTGCTTGTTTTTACATAATACAGTTGTACATTTTTCTTCCATTTCTTTCTATTGTTTTGTAGGTACCCAATTTCCTCTTTTAAACATTTTACTAAAGAAAAATTTGCTCTCACGATGTTTTTGGTAACACTGAACCCAGTACACAGAACAATAAAAAATAATTAAGGAAACACGGAAAACATATTTATAATGTATAAAAAACTGATATCAAACTGCATGTAAGACAAACGACAGGTTATGTCTACCTGAGGACAGGATCATGACTCAGTCCACGGACTGTGAGCCCTGCAGCTCCCGACCAGACAATCTGAGGAAGCGGCCCCCGTCACGTTGGGGTTGCTCTGCAGCTGAAGAGTCTCACCAGGGCCTGCTTTATGTCCCTGTTTCTGAGACTGTAGATGAAGGGGTTCAGCATGGGGGTGACCACCGTGTACATCACCGAGGCGATTGCACTGTCCCTGGAGTCGTGGGTAGCAGCAGAGCTGAGGTACACACCGAGCACCGTCCCATAGAACATGGAGACCACGGAGAGGTGAGACCCGCAGGTGGAGAAGGCTTTGTACCTGCCGCTCGCTGAGGAGATTTTCAAAACAGAGGACACAATCTTAGAGTAGGAGAAAAGGATGCCACTGAGAGGAATAAGCCCCAGAATCCCTGCTGCTAAATATATCACCAGCTCATTGAGGAAGGTGTCAGAACAGGCAAGCTGGATCATCTGGTCCAGGTCACAGAAGAAGTGAGGGATTTGCAGCTGTGAGCAAAAGGACAGTCGCAAAACCAGTAAGCTGTGTAATAGAGAATCCAGAAGACTTAACAGCCAGGATGCAAGAAGCAGGAGGCCACAAAACTGGGGGTTCATGATGACCATGTAGTGCAGGGGATGGCAGATGGCCACAAACCGGTCATAGGCCATGGCTGTCAAGAGGAAGTTGTCCAGTCCTCCAAAGAATATGTAGAAAAACACCTGGCTGAGACAGCCTGCGTAGGTTATGGCTTTGTTCTGTGTCTGGATGTTCAGCAGCATCTTGGGGACGGTGGTGGAGGTGAAGCCGATGTCCGTAAAGGACAGGTTGGAGAGGAAGAAGTACATGGGGGTGTGCAGGTGGGGGTCCGTGACGATGGCCAGGATGATGAGGAGATTCCCAGTGACCGTGACCAAGTACATGGCCAAGAATGCCCAGAAGAGGAGGGGCTGCAGCGAGGCCTCTTCTGAGAGCCCCAGGAGGGTGAACGCTGTGGGGTGGGTTTGGTTTCCCGGCGCCAGGTCGCTGGTGAGCCTGGGGGATGGAGACAGAAGTGATGTCAACTTCACCACAGCAGAGCGATCAAGACATGAGTTTAAATGGTTTGATTTTATTTAAAACATGTTTAGTTAATAAATTTCATGTTATAGAGCTAGTGCCTGTTCCCTGAATTTTCAAGGCGGTTGAATGACCCACCTTCTCCTCATTCTGAAAATAATTAGCCATTCTTACATCCAATGAAAATATTTTCCAATTCAAAATTTTTTTGAAAATTTTCTGAGATTTTCTTTTAAGTACGTTTTACCAATGATATTATCCAAATATTGTTGGAATCATGGAGAAAAAACAGAAAAATCCTAACCCCAGGACCTCCCTTATAGCCTAGGATTTTAGTGTCAGGCTATCTCCAGACAGCCTGAGTGATCTCCAGCCAGGGAGATGACGCACATGGCACAGCAGACCTCTCTTCTCTCCCTGCTGCTCCCCTCAGCAGTGTTTTTCAGTAGATCCATCTGTCTTGCTCCCCAATCTTGTCTCTGGTGAGTCCTCTCACCCCCTGCACCTCTGGCCTACACCCCAGGTCTTCTGTGCATAAATAGTAACAAATATAAGTGTTAAAAAATATATCCTAGGGCCTCCCCGGTGGCGCAGCGGTTGAGCACTGGGTTGCAAAGCTGCCCGCAGCCTCTGCAGCGCCGGTTCGATCCCCGGCTGCTCCCCGGCCACCGGAGGAGGGTCCCACATGGTGCGCAGACCTCTCCTGCCGCCCGCTGCTCCCCTCAGCAGTGTTCTTCGGTCCTTCTGCCTGCTCTGCTCCCCACTGGCCCTGGTGAATTCTCTCACCCTCCTGCACTTCTGACTGTACCCAGCGCTGGTATAAATAAATAAATAAATAAATAAATAAATAAATAAATAAATAAATAAATCTAAAAAAAAAAAAAAAAATATCCTAGCCCCAAGAAAGTTTTCTTAAGTATCTGTGTGGTCTCATTAAATAATATTTTATATGGTGATTATTATTGTTAAGTAAAATAATGGATTTGGATGAAGAGGTAGACTCAGAAGGAAACTTGTATAATCACTTCCAATGAGGAGACTTTAAACAAAAAATCTGAAATCAACGAGATTTTTTATGTGAAGACCATATCACATGGCAACAATATATGCATGAAAAGAACTTTTGGCTTTGGGGAAATACCAGAAAAAGATGTCAGTACAGCAGGTTCCTGGCAGTGTTACAGAAGCAGAAGTTGGGGTTGACAGGAGGGGGCCCTCCAGGTAGGGGTGGGATGAGAGAGGTTGGCAGGAGGCCCCGACATCCTGATGCCTTGGAAGTTCCTGCATGAGGCATTGTATATTTGCTGAGTTTCTACAGTGTGGATTGTGTTACATGTGCTGTGCCTAAGTGTGAGTGTTATGTATCACACCTGTAAATTTTCCGTAATTTAATCCCTCCATAAACTATAATGTCTTTCCCTTCCCTTATATTTCACCTCAATTCTGAGTATTTGATTATAGAAGACAGCTTCAACGTGGGACAAATGTCTAATGTGCTTCACTTTACCTGTCATAAGGGGTTATTTCCCTTATTTTGCCACACACACACACACTCTCTCTCTCTCTTCTGATCCGCTATTTGGCATCTTGTCCTGTGCATTAAGGCTGAGGTGAGAATTGGAAATCAAATCACTACGGACAACAAAAATAGGAAGTGGTTTCCTTTGCAAAGAATCAGCTCTCCAGAAATGTATTAAGGAAAGTTGATATTTTCCTCTGCATTTTAAGACACTGGATGCCTAAAAACTAAGAACTTTGGCCTGTATCCTTATTTATTCATATTTATTTGTAACTGAGGGAGTTGGGGTACCCTCACCAGGAATTGCCACCATAGTGCACCCACACCCACTCACTCATTCCACCACCTCAGACCATTGTGCTTCCTTCCTGCCTTGTTCTTCCCTTCCCCCGGCTTCCCCCCTTGGTGTCTCAGCTCTGTAGTCAGCCATAAGGCTTAGATTCCCAGCTTGTCTTAAACTGTTAGTTACTTTATATTCCACGTATCAGTCACACCATCTGATATTTATCTCTCTCATGACTTATTTCCCCTAGCATTATGATTTCAAGCTCCATCCATGTTGCCACAAGTGGCATAGCTAATCTTTTTTGATTGCTGAGTAGTATCCACGGCGTGTATATACTACATCTTCTTGATCTGCTCATGTGTTAGGATGTTTCTGCTATAATATGTAGTGCTGCCATAAACATGGGAGAGCAAGTTTTCTTTCAAATTATTTTTTTGAATATTTAAGACGAATGCCTGAGAGTAATTAATGGATCAAGGTGGCAGACCCAGGTTTACTGTTTGAGACACGTCCTCACTGCTCTCTGTGAGGGCTGGACCAGGCTGCACTCCCACCTGCAGCGAGTGTGGCCCACTGCCCTGCCTCTGAACAGCATCTGTCAGGTCAGTTCCTTTGTACCATCGGCTTCTTGGTGGGCCCCAGTTACCCTCAACTCTGACTGGAGTAAGCTTTTTGGGAGATAAATGAATAGATGAATGAATACAATAGTGTTTAATAGCACAAGCGTGCTATTTATTGAGAAGTTTGGTGATGTTTCTCCTAAATATGGGTTTTCCAGAGGAGACACCTAGATGGTCAGCAAGCAATGAGGAGGTGCGCAGGATCACTAACCAGGGAAATGCAAATCCAAACCAGGAGCTGTCACCTCACAGCTGCTGACAGAGCTCCCAGGGAGATGACCAAAGTGGGAGTGGGTTGCAGAGAACCCTAGATGCTGTCATGGGCTAATATACTGCTGCAGCCACAGTGAATAAGCAAACAGAGGCACCTCAAAATCAGAAAATACACTCCCCCGTGATCTGTTCATACAAAGGCAATGAAAACAGGACATCGAGCCCCTGCTCCCACTTATTGAGCCAACAGTTAGGAGAAAACCTGAGTCTATCAGTGGATGAATAAAGAAAATAATGTGTACATGTATAGATATAAAAGTATATTCACAATACATGTATACAGTTGCTCTTAATTGTCCAATGAATATACATGGATTATCTAAAACATATAATGTGTAATACACGCACAGGATAGTGTGTTGTTATAATAAATTTTATAGTAAAATATCAAATAATATCCAGTCAAGAGAAGGAAGGACACCCTGCCCTTTGTGACAACAGAGCACCTAAGAATGTTGTGCCACGTGACACAAGTCAGAGAACTACAAATCCTGGACATGACATCTGTGTGTGGTCCTAAAACAGACTTAAATAGCTTCCATGGACCAGGGTGGGGAATTTAGAAGAGGTTGTGTCAGGACACAAACTTGAAACTGGTTGATGAATAAGGTTCTGTAATCTACCCCATTGTGACAGAGTCAACAGTATTTTCTTACCACATTCAAAGTTATTGGGAGATTATTTCTTAATAATTGTGTGACAAAAATAAATGCTAATTGTGTGTATAGATGGAAGTGTCAGCTAGTGCTCCAGGGGTCATCATATTGCAATATATAAATATATGAAATCAACATGTTTTTCTCCAACTTTCACACTATTTCAATTCAATTAAATCTCAATGAAAATACAACAAATGGAATCACAAAACGGAGGAGACATAGTAATGAGGGAGAGCAGATGTGACGTGAACACAATGTGTGTAATTTATTGTTACCACTAAGAATGCAAGATAAAGCCAATGTTTCAGTACATGGTGGGACACAATAAATCGATTGAGGCCCACGCAAAATGGAAATATTTTAAACATTTTTCCCACAAGCCTGTGTATATGTGGGAGGATTAAGTGCAAACACTTATTTTGAAAAACTCCAATTCTGTCTGAATATTTGAATCACAAACCAGAATAAAAATGCAGGCCCTACGTAAATAAATTGTAGGAATGAGCATAATTTGTCATTGAAAAAGCAAAATTATAACAAGGAAAACTATGCAGATTTGCCAGGAATAGAGTGGTTGCAGTGTAAAGCTCCTTAGTCTCCCCCAACTGATATTGAACAAAAAGTATTTCTTCTGTGAGCACCTAATATAGTGGACGCACTACACACTGTTCCTCTCCTCAGCTGCTCTGTGAGGTCATCTGCCTCTATTAGATGGATATTTCTAATACAGATCACCTGCTCACACACCCCATCCTGAAACTGAGCCCCTCGCTTCAGGGCTGACCCCATCGCATTTAATACTTTATTTTCCTGCTGCCTTAACTCCAGACCATCTTGGCTGGTCCTAACGTTGCTGGAACCATTTACGCCCCCAACACTCCCCCTTCAGTCTCATCCTAACAGATTTTCCTTCCTGTCTCTTCACTGTCGGCACCATCTCTGTATTGTTGAGAGCAGTGGACAGTTTTGAGTCACAAATTAAGTAAATTAATTATATATTGACAAGGGAACCTCTTGTCCCTGGGCCTGGTTTGATCTCTGTGACCTGAGGCAGAACTTCTCAGTTTGCATTTTCTCTGGATCTGTCCCAAGTGCCTGCTGGGCTCTGAGACTCACCTGGGTGGGGGCTGTGAGGGGGGCTTCTCCATGTAGCCGTCTGAGTCCCTCCTGAACGCTTGAGGATGGATCTGGGCTGTGTCCCAGACAGGATCTCAGGAGGGCGCCAAGGGCTGGTCCCTGGGCAGAGGTCGGGCTCCACAGACAGGAATCATGTCCTCTCCGGTCCCGGGTTGGACAGTCTGAGGGACCGAGGGAGACAGGGTATTTACCGCCCTCCACGCGGTCTCATTAGCCACCCCTCACTCTCCTGCCCCAAGCTCTGAGCTCATGAGTTCCCTGTGGACACTGCACTGGACAGAGGAAAGTTTCTTAATGATTCTCCATTCCCAAGAGAGTACATCAGATGTCAAGTGCATCCAGTTGTCGTTACTCCTTTTGCATGAACTCCTGCACCTTCCAGA